TTTGAATGCGCTGCCGCCAGAGACACTCTTTTCGATATTGTCATTGTCTAAGCTTAATTTCTTCGGAAGTAGGAAAAGAGGCGTGCACATTCAATCATGCCACCGAAAAGCAGCACGCCCTGATTGAAAATCTAAGACCAGGAGCTCCTTGAGTGGGGACTTATTGCGAGAGGCCTTAAAGGTGGGGGTGACACAGCAGCAAAGAGCTGTCTGTGTGGGGAAGCCCAGTCGGAATTGCTTTCCGCATGGGGAAGCCAAGTCAGAAGGGAGCTCTCACTTGTCGGTGAAAACTAGTGACCAAGTTTTTAAGTGACCCACTGAAAGAAGGAAGATACATCAACCCTCCTGTACTACAGTTGAAAGACGTTAATGCTATCACCTTCATACCACGAAAGGGTCGGACTACCAAGCACGCACTCCTGCATTTGGAGCGTGAATTATGGTGAACTACTCATCCTAGGATCAGGTCGAGACTACTGTATCACTGTGAATACACAAGTCCGCGCGACCTAAATTACTACCAGTTCTTACAAAACTAGCATGATGCTATTATTAATAGCATATCATACTCACTAATAAGGAGTGTGTATAAACAATTGCTGATTCTTACAAAATCAACATCAACATCGCGATCTCAAGGAGAATCTTGTGTAGCGAAACATCCATTTCATGTTCCAAGAAATCGCATCTTCACATTAAACTTAAGGTAATTCCAAGGTATCGATATGTAATTATATTATAAATTGTAAAATAAATTATATATTCAACAAAACGCACGATGTTTCTACAGCCCTTCCACTTAACTCCTTTCCGAGAATCTGCTAGGGCGGGCGGTAAAAATAAACTATTTAAGCATTGGTAGTTCGAGCCAAGAAAACCAGATCATTTCGAATACTAAGAGATTTAAATTAAATGATTAATTCATTCATTACAACTTTGTTATTATAAATATCAATACAAATTTTTAAAATGAATAATCTAAAATTTATAGAATCAGCAAATTCTTAATAATTTTCAACTAATTCTTCATTCTTTCAGTTTCTTAATAATTTTAACAGTATTAAAGTTTGATTTAACAAAGCTTTAAGATGACTGTATTATACTAATAGAAAATCTGTATTTTAAAGGCTTAGTTTATGGCTCGAACTACCAATTCAATAGTTCAGTGGATTAGTCTATCGTCAGGATAACTTTAAAGGAAATAATAAGTGACAAGGCTGAAAAATATCATGTATTTAGTAAAACAATGTTTATTATTTGTTAATAATTATAATAATATTGCAATGTTGTGAAGAAAGTAGATTATTCTAGTGAAGTAATAAGGGTGTGTCCTTGTATTCTTGATTATTGTAGATTCTATGGATATGACTGAGTATCTTGAAGTTGAGGTAATGCTGATGTTGTAAATATCAGCAGGTGTAGTCAATCAATCATGCTTATGAGGTAGCATGAGAAGATGGTGTTTGAATCAAGTATGTTTGATGTATGAATAACTATACTTGATATGGTGTAAGATGTTTAATGGAATTTATTGAGTAATCAATTGTGTCTTTAATTATTTATGGGGGCAGTAAAAGAGTCTAGTCACAGGTAAAGAGTTATTAATGATAAGCCTTGGAGCTCTTGAAGGATTTAATCATATGTATTTATAGTCAATTAGTCGATCTATTGTTGTCCTTCCTTGACAACGTGCTTAACGTATAGCGACACTTGTGTCGTCTGTTGAGGGCCTGTACGGTTTCGAAGTGTTAGTTCGAGAGAGCGTCAGTTTGCCCAATCGACTCTTATGGGCCTGTACGGTTTCGACGTGTGAGTTCGAAAGAGCGTAAGTTTGCCCTATCTCTGCTAGCGGGCCTGTATGGTTTCGAAGTGTTAGTTCGAGAGAGTGTAAGTTTGCCCTATCGACTCCTATGGACATGTACGGTTTCGAAGTGTTCGAAAGAGCGTAAGTTTGCCCGACATATTTTTGTGCGAGGTGTGACTAGCTAATTTATTAATATAAAAAGATGTACCTTGTAAACTGCTGACAAGGTGTGTTGTTTTACTGCGAGGCTGATGTCCCCCTTGATTACTATTCCAACTGGCTTCACTGTAATTCACTTCCAAATCTGTCGATTTCCATTTATTGATGCACACGGGTATTATTAACTTGAATACTGAATATATGGCCACGTGTCGTCTTCACAGTATATACTAAAACACTTTTAGGCAGTAATTACTCTTAAGTGAGCGCGAAATAAAATTACAATGAGCGTATGAGCCTTTTGAATACGCGTACGAACCGAATGCTTGATCGTTCCGGGGCGGCTTTGCTGAAAATACCGACCGTTCCATGGCGGTCCTGCTGAGAGTAGATCAAGACCGGTGTGCCATGGCTTCTACTGATAGATAATTAAATCGGTTCACTATGGACGATCACTGCGGTCGGGTCACGGCAAGATGTTAGCCGCAAGCGCAGTTGAGCGAGGGTGGTTCGGCAAGAGAGCCGATCAGTAAGAGAGGCTGTCAGCAAGAGATTTTCAGCGAGAGAGCGAGGCGCGCCGCGTACGTGCCTTATATATCCACGCGGCGGCTCACTCAACTGTCAACAAAGCATCGTCGTTGTTGCACTAATTCTTACACGAGGCGTAGAAAGAAAAATCTAGAACCTTCGAAAATTCGACGAAAGAAAAATAGGGCGTAATACCTTTGTGTGAACTTATAGTATATTAGATTTCATCTCGTAAAACTTGCTCGGACTTGCCGAGTTTTGTTTCTAAACATTCGCCCGAGTGCGCGTCCCGGTCTGAGAGCACTTGCCGTGCGCCGTACAGCGCGTATGACCCACTTTTTCTTAAATTCGTGGAAACTGCGTCAATCTCGAACAATGACTTTAAGCTAAAATTATAATAAATACTATATTCCAAAAGTCTACATCATTTTAAGAACATTAGATAATCATAAATTTATATTTACATATAGAAAATTGGTACGAGTAACGAAAATTTTATAAACATTTATATGTAACATTCAATTTTTTTTAGAACCTAAAGTGCACTATGGTTTGATTCATTAGCTTAAGATATAATGTAAAATATACATCTTTTAATTATATTTTATTAATAATATTATAAATATTTCTTATATTTTGTATAAATTTTTCTTAATCTGGTCAAAAACAGTCTTTAAAGTATATTTTAAACATACTCAATTCAAATTACATTGAAGTTTTAATCATAACCTTTAAATGAACATTTTATTTATCTTACTAAAATTTTTTTTGACAAATTATTTAATTAGGTTTATTAAAGTGCCTCTTCAGTATTTTAAAGTTTCTATTTTTTAAAAAATTACCTTCAAAATTATTTTACGCATTATAAATTGAATGATTAGCATTATCAAATATTTGTATCATTTTTAAAATAAAATATGTACAGAATCAAATCATAATTAAAAATATGTATGACAAATGTTGGTTTAATATATTTATTTTTCTGTGTTCCAGAAGAAATTTTTATTCATACATATAGAGTATCGACAAAAAAGGTATAAGATAAGAAAAAGAAAAATATATTAAAAAATAAATTCATGGTGTTATTAGTATTAAAATGGTGAGCTTTATTTAGTTAAAAAATTATATTTTATTCCTACACTATTTTTGATTTGTTAAAAGTTTCTACTATACTACTATCTTATTATTTAAGCTTTAAAAACATTTATAATGAATTTCAAATATTAACATTTTTAATTACTATGAAATAAAATTTCATATGTATGTAATATATTTATTTTTTTTTTTATTATAAGTAATTTATTTAATAAGATTTTATATTATGCAAACTTTAGATTATTAAATTAACCATAACTTTTCAAAAATAATAACAGATAACGTTTATGTAAGTTTTTAAATTTTTAATTGATTACTATATTATATATTTAAATTAAATAAATCCTTTTTCAAGAATTTTTCATATCATACCTTATTCAAATCTTATCTGTAGTATACAATAATTTAAGTTGCATATTTATATACTTCCCTTATTAAATTATTAATTTATTCACAAATACTGAATTTATAAACATTTAATATATCAAATAAGAAATATAATCTACTAATTTGATATTATTATATGTAGTTTGTCACTTTCCTTCTAAGGTAAATTATCATTTAAAATTATTAGCTTCAATACAATAATGACTAATGAATTTATTGACTGCAACAAATAATTTATATTTTTGACAATATCTATTAAGAGCAATGAATTATAATTTTATTTAGATATCATAATCATATTTTAACAAGATTGTTGTAGCATTTCAACTTCATCAACTTTCTAAAACTCTTAGATGATCTTTTAATGCTTTGAAAATACTATTTCTTCTATTATTAAACCAATATATGCTTACAAATTATGTTACATTCTAATAAATATATAATTATTATGTATGATATCTTTAATAAACATATCTAATAAATAAGTATAGAATAGAACTTCAATTCCAGACTGATTCAAACTTTTTTACTGATTAACATAAATTTATAGGTAGTAGAAGTACATTGAATTCGAAATTCAATATTATTTTTAATTGATTAGTATATTATGATGAACCATATACATATTAGATTTATGAGTATCTTTCTTTACGCAGATTAGGGGTATTTATAAATGAAACAGCAAGATATTATGTTAAACTATAATTTGGCTTCAATATTTTAGCATAACCTATGATAGTAATATTGAATAAATGAGTGAATTTATTCTTTCTTTTCAATTAATAAACTTAGTCCTACCTACAGCAAGACTGTTAAGAAATAAATATTGCTAAATTTACAGAAATTTTGTAATTTAGCTCAATGATTAAAAGATTTAAAATATTAATTATTACAAACCAAAAATAATTATTTATTTCCTTAATTCTCTTTTACAGGCCTTAAAAATAATTATTTATTTTTTATAATTATTTTTTCCATTATTATTTTATTCACTTTCTATTTTACTTTTTGAGTTATGTGTACTTAAATGAGACATTTTTATTTTCATTCTCATCCGTAATCTTAGTTTCTGATTTATATTCAATTAATTAGCTTTGCTTCCAACTACTGATTTCCTTAGTTTTTTTTTTTAATTTCTCATTCTTTCTTTTTTCACTCTTTTCTTTTTTTAAACAGAAATAAAAGTTATCACTTACATTACTATTTCTACTAGAATCACTGCTACAACTATTTTTCAAACTATTTTTCTTTTTCTTTGATTTCTTCTTTTTTATCCTTTTCTTTTCCAATTTTTCTAACTTTCTGCAAATATTTAAAAATTTTAGTTTTATGTTCAATCATACGTTAAATAAATAAATAAATAAATTATTGACTAGTACTTAAGTAGTTTCCTCTTTTCTTTTTTAGATAATGATTTTAAAAATGCTACTTCAGACTGTTCATCTTCTGATACCATTAGATCTTGATTATGAGGTACACTTAAATGTTGTTGGGCATTAAGAGCTGATCTAAAATTTAAAAAATAAATGTTAATTTACATTAAAAAGAAATAAATTAATTACAGCATTTTATTTTAATAATTATTTATTATTAAAGTACTTCTTTAATTCTAGACCATCATCTCTCATTTGTTGAACTAGTGCTAAAGCATCAGGTGCTGGTGGAAGTAGATCTGTATTATTATTGATAGCCAGTACAACACTCATTGCTTGACTGTATAAAGGGCATTCTTTATCTATTGCAATAAAATTGATAGTGGTTTTAATAAAATCAAGTGTACTCCTGGATATAATAATTTATATTATTACCTGTATTTATATGGCCCCACTTATGACATTTTATACAACGGACATTGCGTACTTGAATACCAAAAGGTTGGTCTCTAATTTCGCTATCTCCCTTACAATAACTTTCTCTAGGTGCATTATATTTACGTTGCCATTCAAATTTATATTCAGGTTCATTATCTTCTTTTTCTCTTTCTTTTTTAGCTCCTGGAGGTGGTTCATACATAAAATTGACACTGAGTTTCTCTTTACTTTCTTTACTTAACAAGGCTCTGCAAATATAAAGACATAAATATTTATAAAATATTTTGAAATTCAAAAAGCAATAATATAAATAATTAATTTTTTTCTATTTCATTAAGTATAAATTTTTTCTTTTTAATATTTTTGTAATGTTTAAATATAGATACTGTGAAATAGAAAACATATTTTTCTTCTCTAGTAATAAATTAAATATATCATGAAGTTTTAAAAATTTAAGTATATTAATGTTACAATAAAACATTCCCTTTCATTAAGATCCCTAATAAAATTTTACAACCTTAAAAATTTTTTATTATATACTTATTATTATGAAGATCTTGCTCTTTTTCATATTGCATTCGCAATTCTTCTTGTTTTTTTTTATAAGCTTCAGCTTGTTGCTCAGCCATCCATACCTAACAAGAATAATTTAAAATTTATCATTAGGCAGATAATAAGCATTTAGTGTTGTCAAGATATATATATATACATATGTGATGAGATTCACTCACTCGCTTCAAATTATCCCTGGAAGCTGGATGAAAGAATTTTTTACACATATAATTATTAAAGCCTTTACCCATCTTGATAATTGCACTTATATTAACAAAGTATAATATTTTTGTAAAATTTGAGGAAAGGTAAATATCGTGAATCAAACTTTTGCTCAGCATCAATTTACACCGTCACAACTGCAACGAATTAACTCCCCACTTAACGACTCTGCTCACGTGACTAGAAGTGATCAAATACAGGCAGTATAAAAATTAATGGTTTTGAAATATTTTCAACAATTTTGATGGATATTTATCTATAATAATTTGGAAATTCGATTAAATTATTTATATTATATAGAGTGGTATTTAAAATGTTTGAAGTGAAAGAAGTGAAAATTTATTTTATATAAAGTAATATAATAATAAAGTTTTATAAAGTAAATATGCAAATATGTATAAAAATATAATATTGAATAATTTAATTATTATATAATCAATAATAATTAAATAAATATTTACTTACTTAAAAATGGTCCATTTATACATTATCTGATTGAAAAAAATTCATTGGGCTAATTTTTTAATATTATTATTTTTCGTCAAGAATGGCAAATTTTGCAGTTAATTTGATCTTATATTCTAGAAATTACGACAAAAAATGGAGTAAATATTGAGCTAAAAATAATTTTAAAAGTGTTAAGATGAAGTGCAACGAAAAAAACATGATAGCTTTTGCGACATCGGCAACTCCAGTAGATCGTGAAGGTTGGTTAAATAAACGTGGAGAAATCAACCGCGGATATCAAAGACGATGGTTTGTTTTAAAAGGTAATATTCTTTTTTATTTCGATCGTCGAGGGGACAAAGAACCAGTTGGTATGATTATAGTAGAAGGATGTACAATTGAGTTAGCAGAAGATGAAGAACAATTTGGATTTAAAATTGTCTTTCATGGACCTAATAATAGAAGTTATATTCTTGGAGCTGAATCTCAGGTTCACTATTTGTATTATTGTATTTTAGCAATTATTTAATAATATAATTTTATTATTTTATAATGTAAAGTATAATAATATATCGTAATAATAGTATAATAATCTGTAAGTTATAATTTTCTGATTCATAAATGCACCAGTCTAATTATTTGATAATTTATGTAACAGGAATCAATGGAGCAGTGGATGAAAGCCTTAGCATGTGCAAGTTATGACTATATGAAGTTAATGGTTACAGAATTACAACGACAATTGGATGCCCATGACGAAGAAAACACAATCTCATCTATAGAGTTGCCTAAAGTTCCACCAAGACATAGACATAACCCATTTAATAAACTAGAGTCACATCATAGATCTCAAAGTGTTAGATCAGCACCTGGTCAAACAGAAAATATATCAAGAGCAAAAGTGTCCTTTAAAGAATTACATAATATATATGGTAGAAGAATTTTATCTGATCTCAATGAATGGAGACATGGAAAAAAAATTGTTGAAGCTCCATTAATTATTTTCTAATCATAAAATCAATATATTACAATTAATTTTACTTATTATAGAGATTTTAAAATAATTTTTCGTGCTTAAAATTTGATAAATATATTTTTTTTTATTTAAATTTATATTTATATATGTAGGTCTGCATTTCTGTAAGTTTGAGTATAAATTTATTCACTGATATTAAGAAATTAAATGTTTATAAAATCTTTATTTTTTCTTATTGCTGTAATAAAGTTTGCAGTACATTGTGTTCAAATAAAGATCATGTAGCACTGTAAAAGAATCAAATGATTGAATATATTTTTATTTAATGCTTGTTAATACAAATACATTTTATTTATATTTACAGTAAGTTTTGTACACACAGTTCAATAAATGAGATCAGTAAACTCTTGTTACTAAAACTCTTGCAAATATGTATAATAGAAATATTTGTATACCAATATGAATCAAAAATAATTTTAAAAATTAATTGATAAAATTTTATTTACAATTTTCTAAATATTCAGCTTAAACAATGCACTCTCATATAAGTCAAATTATTATAAATATTAAAAATTTTTTACTTAAATTTAAAAATACTTTTTTTCCTTGCATCTCCTGGTAAATGTCTAGCACCTAATAAAAGCCGAGCTTTATCTTCTTCCTGAGGAGTTACTTCTTCTTGTGGTCCTCTAGGTTTAATTTGCAATTTTTGTTTAATAGCTTGACTGAGAATTACACGTCTTGAATCACTTTTCATTGCCAATAGAAGATCAAGCCATGTCCATGTTACATTGTGATATTCCAATGTGGGTATTACAAGAGCAAAATCTCGTATATCTTCTAAATTTTTTTCTTTATTGCCCTATAGTAAATATAGAAATTTCTAATACTTCAATTACATTTTATGTGAATTATAAAAAATTAATTATGAGATACCTTATAAGATACTCTTACAGGTACTTCAGGTATTTTAATATATATAAATAATTTATTCTTATCAGCTCGTTCTTTCATTTTCTCTACATCTTCTCTTCTTTCAATAGGTACATAAAAAGATGAATCTCTTTGAGGAACAGGTGGATCTTCTATACCGTCTGGATCTCTTTCAGGGAAACAAAATTTTAGCATAGTATTGAAAAATTTCTTTGTTAATCCTAAAAAAATATATTATTTTTAAATAGTGTTTTAAAAGATATTTTAAAAAATTATAATGAATTATATATCATTTACGTATGTATTATATAGTTTTAATTAATAGACACGTGGAATTTTTCGTTATAATAATTAAGTATGAATCAGCAAAGTGAACATAATATTAAAATATAAAAAATATTTAAAATCCCTAATTATTATTTAAATACAAAAATTATAATATAGAATTGTAAAGTATAATTAAAATATTTTTATTATATTTATACATTTGATTCGGTAGATCAAAGAAGATTTATATCATTAAATCAATATTGTGTGCAATATTATTTTTATTACATATATAATAAAATTTTGTTACATATACTTATAAATATAGACTACAAGTTTGTACTTTTAAGCTATTACAATTAAAGTTTCAACTACAATGATTAAATTTGTATATTAAGAATTTACTTATATCGATTTTAATATATTTTATACATATACAAAAAACTTTATATTAAAAATAAAAATGTAGAATTTTGAATTAGAAATCTGGAAACAAGGGGATATTTATGCTTACCAATAGTAAGTGGAACGACATTAATTTCGAAATGTTCTTTAACAGATATACCGGCGACGGGAGCTTTTTCTCGGCAAAAAACTCTAAGGGCTCTTTGCCTGTCAATCGGCATATTATTTTGGAGTTCTGTTGGTTTGAGAACCTCAGTATAAATTTGATTTGGTAAAAGGTTGGTCATTCGGACATAGCCAAGTTCGAGTAAATGCTCTACTGAGTCATCACTTTTACTTGTCTTTGTATAGAGAAAATTTGTTAATATAAGATCGGCTATGCCCAGCTGTCCATCGGCATCTGTCAGCCTCCACTGTGCGTGTTTGAAGCATATTTCGGCCGCTCGGACTACCGCCGTTGGTTTATCCTTGAGATTTGTTGAGGCAGCGGCCGGAGCTGTCGTCTCTTTATAACAGCTAAGCATAACGTCCAATTCCTCAGCCTTAGCGCTTAACTTCTCCTTACAATCAAACACTCGTATTTCAAGATGCTCTAGTTCTGCGATTAGTTCTGCACTTGACTCATCAGCGAGGGCCTTTTGTACAAGGTACGTCTCCTTTTCGAGTCTACGTAATTTCGATACAAGACCACGCACAATATTCTGTCGCTCTTGTATCGGGCGTTTTTGATCTTCCTCTGATTGCAATTGCAGCTGAAACCTTAATTTTTGGAAAATTGATTTTTTGCATAACCATTTTGTAAATGATTTGGTAAATTAGGCTATATTATAAATCTATAAAAGAAATTAAAATTATTTATTAAATTATTTTAAAATATGTAGTATTTATACAATGATTTTATAATGTTTTTCACGCAAAATCTTATATACAAAAAACTACTATTATGCTTCTTTTACAATTGAAATATGGATTTAATATCAACTTTTTAGTTAAATTCTTTAGAAGTAATGGAATTAAGATTATATCTATTGTAAGTTAATTGTAAGAAAAGATATGAAGAAAAACCTCATTCGTTGTAATCTCTCAAGAGCCTCTTTCCTTCTTGGCTCAATATATAGAAGTAAATTGTTGACGATATCGAGTATCATAGCATACTGCAACGAGTTTGTACAAACGTCAAGATCATGGTGCATGAGAGTGAATGCATCAGCTGAAGAAAGCTCTTTGCGTTCCCAAGGACTGATCTCTTCACCAGGTGGTGCTGGAACTTCATCAAGAGAGTCTGCATCTAAGGCTTGACCATACCCGACGTAAAAGAATTCACATTTACATCGAGATACGATGCGCTGTAGTTGATGCTGAGGTCCACCGCTACCACCTACAGTCTGACTTACTACGCCACCAACACTTTGACCTGAACCGACAAGGGCTGGAACATCTGGCAACCCAATAATCACTGTCGAGTCCTTTTCCTATCGGAAAGTTCATAAATATTATTTACAATTCTTTTTACTGTTTTAACTTTTCAAGAAATTTTAATTAATGATAATACGTTGATTAATATGAATAATAATTCCTTTTAATTTTATTAAACCCAACACAGTATTTCAAAACTAAGATTTCAAAGTTAATTTGAATTCAAAAGAGCTTATAATTATGTTAAACATTATAGTTCTTTTTTCTATTGTTAGAAATATGTATTATGTAAATTTTTCAATTATTTATTTATTTTAAATATTGTATTATAGGATTAACTAATTATATTACTTGTATGTTATCTATTGTCAGCCACATAATATTATGATCTATATTATCATCAATGTTAGCATTGACAGTAGCGTAGTACTGCATGCATTCTAAAGAACCAACCCACGTTGTTTTCGACATCAGAGTTCTTTCTTTCCATATCGGTCGATGTACTCTTTGTAGAATTTCTGCCTTGGCAGCTGATAAAATAACGTAACCCCGTGTATCTATACCTTTTAATAATACTTGACTATTGACCAGGGCAACTAAAACAAATTTATTCAAGTTAAATTTTGATATTGATTCATACAATAATGAACATGCACGAAATAAAAATTTTCATTTTAATAAGGAAAAATGTTTAAGAAAAAACATACTGAGCCAATTCTTATGTAAGACATCGTCTTGATTACAGGCAGCAAGGCCTCTGAGTTGTTGTCCCCTTGTTTGTACAGATATTTCATCGCTGAAAACAACGGGCTTATTGGCGGCCTCTGCGATAAGTCTTTGTAGCATACCTGCAGCTTCTCCCTGTTGAAGCTTGGTTGACGTCGAAGGTGTCACTTGGGTGGGAGTGTTTTGGACGTCAATCGGTCGTGATCGGTTCTTATAAGACATACAACTACTCTCTCGATGAAAACCCTTAAGCGCTGCCGTTGACAGATTCTTCTTAAGCTGCTGAGTCTTGATAAATGAGTCAAAGAGGGCAAAAGCTACGTCACGATTTGTTTTAGTCCACGCACCCTTCAAATCGTGCACGACAAGCCGATGAATCGGCGTGTCGCCACTTATGCCCGCAACTACAGCCTCCCTGTTAACGAAAACTTCACATTTATTATCTTATGTTACTATTGCTATTCATATATCTATAATTTATGTTAAGAAAAAAAAACGACATAATGAATATAATGAAGTATATCATACCTTTCATAATTAAAATGTCTAAAGAAAATTCCAAATTAACCGTTACTAATATTTATAAATGGTAAATAAAGGAACGATTTCAACCTGCCGTAGCTAACTCTTGCGACACTCAGGCAATAGCATTTCTGTACGGGCTGTCTAAGAGACGTGCTCTCCTCGTCTTCTTGCAGAGCGCTCTTGAGCCAAATTTCGGCGTCACTCAGTTCACAATTCATGTAGATAATGGACCACTCAGCACGCGGTCTGTGTATAAGGCCATCGTCTATGGGGTGGAGGGTAAGATTGTGTTCGGAGCTGCAAGCGACTCGACCCCCTGTTACTTCGAAACCCCGCTGCATAGCGAACGACATCCAGTAACTCACATGAAAACGATGGAAAGCAAGAGTCAATCGGATTTTACGGTAATGTCGGCTAAGTTGCTTTTTACGTGGCCGGATGTTTTGGAAAAGACAACCCTTTCGGGTAGGTCTAGTTGCCCCCGATAGAATGAACTTTAGATTTTCGAACCAGCGTAACGTGCTTCCATACAGGATGGCCGTAGGCGCGTTTGTCAAAGTAGGTGAACCTGTCGGCTTCGTCTCCAAAGCAAGACTCACATTAAGATTCTAAGGAATATAATATTCATTCAAAAATATGCTTGCAAGAAAATATTTTAATTTTATGATGATGTGTGTTCAAAAAAATCTGTTTAAATAAAAAATACTATTTTTATAATAGGATATACAATAGTAATTATAAAGACGGATATTATTTAAATTATTAATTTACTAATAAAGTACTTAATTTAAGTTTTGGAAAGAAAAACAATACTTAAATATTAGTGTTTTAAAAATATACAGAAGATTTAAGCAATCAAAATTTTTTAAATTAATATATTTATAAATATGTATCAACAGAAAAACCATATATTGTGTTTCATATTATGAAGCTAATAAATAATTGCTACTATGATTGAAAAATTATTGAAATCAATATTTTTGTATGTCTTTTGACTATGATTAATTAAGTGCTAAATTTTGATCCATTAATAACAATGTAGCAGTTTGCAATAATTTAGTAAGTATTAGTGAATAAGAATATATAAAAGAATATATATGCATAACAATTTTGGATTACGGCATAAATGAAAACGAAAATGGATATGAAAAATAAATATGAAATTAGATTGGTAAGTAGTAACCGATCAACTATAATATCAACTATTATTTTAAAAATCAAGTACTTCAATTTATAGAAAGTATACATGCAGAATGAAAAATTCATGAAAAGTTTATCAAAAATATTTCGAAAATTAAAATAAAAAATTTAACTTACTTGAGAGCGAAAAGCACGAAAAGAATCGTGCTGTTGGTTGCTAGAATATTCAGGTAGTTTATTGGGGGCACAAGGCAGGGCAGTATGGTGGTCTCGAGAGTCTCCTAAACAGACCCACACGAGCTTTATACTGAGCCTAACGTTGGGCAAATGAAGAAGACGACAGTCATCATACTTGCTGGCAGTTCGTACATATACGTCAAGGTCACCTTTGACAATGATTTTACCGAGGATCCAGTCAAGCTCAAGACTTGACCACGTAAGTTCCATTTCTTCAGTAGTATTGTAGGGATCAAGCGAGGCATGTAACAGTACTGTTAGTTGTTTAACACATAATGTCAACCGACCGTGTAGCATGAGTCGCATCTTGTCCCAAAAAGGTAGTGGTGGACTTGGATCTCGCGACGGCTGCATGATTTTCTCAAAACTTAGATTACACTGAGCTATTACTGGCTCCCAACAAGGGCCGAACGCGTATCTGTACATAAAAATTTTATCTTCTTTGTATGATGAAAAATTTGTTTGAAAAAATATTTAAATTCATACATTTTTACTTATATTCATTAATATTTACAAATATAATTTTTATGCAAACTAAAGGTTAAGTTTGAATTAAAAATTATTTTCGTTCTTAGTTCAATAATTATTTAAATTAATTTTATTTCTAAAATTATTATGATTGCATTTAAAAATCAGATTCATATCAGATACTAATTAAATTATAATACAGGTCTTATTTAAATAATAATTAAAGTTCAAAATTTTCAAAACTATGAGATAAATCAGTTTACCTGAACTTATCAATGTCCCAGTTCAGATCATGGTAATATTTTAATGACGTCATGCCGCGTTCTATGATAATATCGTCCCAAGGTGCACCAACCTCTATCTTCACTGTTCTTCGGGCCCTAGGTGGAGCAAGAGCCTCGACGCCGGCTAACCTTCCCCAAATATTTAGTGCTTCAACAAGTAAAAATGCTTGGGGAAAGTCCCTTAGTTGAAGCTTCCACTCGCGGCATTTGAGAGCGATTCCCCTCACCCAGAATGTATTAAATTCGAGTCCATCCTCCGGCCAGGGCGTCTCCGGGTCCATTTCTTGAAGTGTGCGAGTTGCATGTTCCAATCCGTAAATCGAAGGGTCCACTAAAGCAATTATCTCAAGATCAAGCATTGTCCAGGCGATGAGTCGCGTGCGTGCAGGTCCTGCACGTTGCATTTGTTTCCAGCGTTGCACATAGATTTCAGCATTTTTCTTGTTTAAGCTTGCATAAAGCTCCTCTACCTTACCCTGTGGAAGAAGGAGGTGAGCTCTGCAAAGCTCTTGGACCTTAGCATCCAACATCGCCTGTCGTTTTAGACTTTCCTTATACTCGTCCTCCAAGAGCTCGTAATTGTCACGCAGACGAACTTCAAATGGATCATCATTCACTTCAAATACCCATTCTTTAATCTATAACACATTATTGCTATAATTCGTTCTTTCTAATTATTGATGTATTTGAATTAATTATATTAATAGGATATCTAAGCCTTGCTATTTTTAAATTTAGCAGCTTTGTTTTTTTTAATTATTTTTAATATAGGAATTAAAATAATTATACAAATATAAGAAAAAATACTTACTTTCATAACTAGATCACATGGTAATGTTTTTTCTTGTTTCTTATCAAAAGAATGTATTTCCTTAAGCCATTTTCTTATACTAAATAACTCATTTTGAATAGCTTTAGCAAATTGATGTTCATAAGGAAAACATACTTTTACTAAATCAATGCTTATGGCCCAAGTCTCATTCCATTCTAATTCGAATCCTTCAGCATTTTGTCGTTCCATTCGAACTTCTGCACTATCCACTATTTTACATAATTTGAAGCCCTCAATTATAATTATATCTGCCATATCTAAAGCTGCTCTAAGATAATTAAGTTTCCATTCTCCTTGTGACCATTTTAAATAATCGGAAGATATTTCTAAAAAGTGTCTTGGAGAAATATCAAGTGTTAAAGAAATTCCATTTGTACACAGTATGTCCAACAATCGTTCTGTTTGTGGTACATCTTAAAATTAAAATTAAATTTTTAGCAATTAATGAATATATAAAAGAAATTATATTTAAAAAATATTTTTTGTTATTATTTATATGTATACCATTAGTATTAGAAACAACTTTATTTTCAAACACAATATTTCGAAGATCAGTCGATTCAATCCATAATTGTAATAAACGAAGATGTAAATTAGGACTCCAAACCAAAGCAGTGTTATCTAAACTAATATTTATCGTAACAGGAGAAATAGCAGTTTTGCATTTTCTGATTGATAAAAATGGATGACTTAATGTTTGAGCATGTTGATATAAAATTGGTTCATTTTTATTTAATGTTATTGCACAAACTCCTTCTACCATACCAATAAAATATTTAATACTTTGTTCTAAAGTAGCTGAATCCAAACGAACCATAATTGCCACTGAAGTTAAAAGTTAAATGAAATTAAACATTATTTATTTAAAAATTGAATTTTTTATAACAAAAACATACTTTCATTTTCTGCAATGAAAAATAAATTACAATTCGAAATTTTAAGATTAAGTTGTATTATTTCATAAAAAAATCCATTATTTTCTAAACTGGAAGATTTTTTATTTCCTCTCCAATATCTAAGAAATAAGACATAATATATCAATACTTAAAAACATACTTAAATTAAAGAAATTAAGATTCATGAGAGTTAATATTACAATAATCCATGCTCAAGAAATTTTACAAGTTCAATGCTCCATTCCATTCTAAGACCATCAAGCACAATGCCTATCGCATTTTTTTGAGTAGTAGCGAGAAATATTCCAATAAAAAGACAATTTCCCCATTGATGTGTCAATTCCAAAATATTTCTAGAAGTATTGTTAAATGCGCAACAAAGTGATTCAAAACTTAATTCAGTATTCCATTCATCAATATTATCTATCAAATAATAAAATAATTTTTTTAGTTAAATAAATATATATTATTAATTTATATATAAGACAATATTATTATAGAAAGTTGTTACTAGTATTATTTTAAGATGGTATTAAGACAGAATTATTAATAAATCATTGTTTTACCAGTTAATCTACTCATTGAAAATTTGGCATGCGTTACAGAGCATGACGTTTCATGAACATCTGGTAATTTTATAAATAATGAAACATCATACAATTCAGTAATTATTTGAATAGTCAACCAAGAAAATTTTTTTTTTTGAGATGTATTAACATCTTGTTTAAAAATATCGTGAACATCGTTTGTCAAAATGGATTCCCAATCTTTATAGTCATATGTCATTGAAAGACAGTTTAATTGTATAGCAATCTTTAAAATATCATTCTTCATCTATAAATTGTTTTAATAGCAATATATTTTATTTGTCTTTTAGTTTAAATTGATTATAAAAATATTAAATTCATATGTAATACTTTTGATTCTATTGATAAGGACCGTAATGATAGCACTGGAAGTTTTCCTTTAAATGATATTCCATCTATATTCAAGACTAAATAAATTTGAGGACCAACTGGTTGAAATTTTGCATTGACTTGCAGAGATCTCATTGTACATTCTAAACCTAAATGAAAGCCATCTTCTCGGCCAGCAATAATTGATGAACTACCCAACTTTATTAACAAATTCTATAATATTAAATAAAATCAATAATATTAATATATTAAAATATATTTTTCACAAAATAAAACTATATATATTATTAATGTAAAAGTATAGAATATTTTAAGGAATATTCTATCATGCCCCAATAGTATATTATTATAAAACATTAAATGACTAACCTTTGGTAAAATAGGAGCAAACCGATCTATAATATTTCTATTGTGATGTTTTGGTGCTTTTGAATTTAATGTTTCAGGTGTTAATGATTTTCTATCTTTTAAAAATTGTAAAAGCCCAACACCTCCAGAGCCTTCAGTCTGAGTTATTCCAATCAATAGTTTCTAAAATATGTATATTAAAGTGTACATTTAATTTTATTTTTATTTTTATTTATTTGTAATTTATGAAAATGTAGTATTACATAAATTTAAAAATAAATTATTAAGAAATAAAAGAAATAATTTATATTAAATATATTACAAATATTATAAAAGTTAAGTTACTAGTACCTCTAGTGATAATTCTCCTTGAGCTCGAAGAGTTGCTTCAATAGTACCAGCAAAATTTATTTGAGCTAAACAAGCATCTGATGCATGGCGTAATAATTTCATTACTCCATTAACAAATGTTATAGTTCCAAGTAATGTTCTTGCCCCATGAACTATGCTACCATCAAGACTTAGAGTCTCGGTATTTCCATTAGCCAACCAACCATTTCCAAGAGCCAAAAGACTTAAATTTTCTATATTTATTGCTAGAAACTAGAAGGTACAATAATAATGATAAATTGATTAATAATTTATTAAAGCTATGATATATATACCTGTACAACTGTAATTATAAATGAAGGAATTTTTGTATTTCGAAAATCTAAAACTTTATTTGAACGGTTTTTATGTCTAATTAACATTGCTGGAACATCAATATTAACTCGGACACCTCGTATCATTAAAGATAACAATTTAGCTACTTCACTACTGAATAGGCTACTTCGCATACTGAACTCTTCAATTTCCTATAATATTGTAAATACTCATTAGGTATAAAAATATTAATGGACTATAATAAAACTTACAATTGTGAAGCCATTTGAAGAAATATTGACATTTCGCAATATAAAATATGGAAGTGAGATATGACCAACTTGTAAACGTATTTTACATTTTCTTTTAACAAGCCATGCTAAAAATCTTGGTATCATCCTAAAAATTAATCATTGATATTGTATAATATAAATAAGTTGTATATAATAAAATCTTTTAACACTTACCATGTACAGATACAATATACAATAAAGCAAATAATAAAGAATGTTGATAAACTTATCATTTTACAAATTTGCATTTACATTTAAAATTTCATATTTCTTATAATTTTCAATAGTACAAATAAATATAGCATTTTAAAGTATTAAAAACTTTATTAAATTCGTTATTCGATTTCTATATTATCAAACAAAAATTAATTTAATATAAATATTTAATAAATAGCATAAAAATTTAATTTTAATGCATTTATAACAAACGGACTAAAAATTTGTTTTCTAACCTAATACAGTCTAGTTAAAATATAATAATCCCTAAGAGATAATTTAATATCTCTAGAAATCAACCTCATAAAAAAAGTAACAAAAATAATTAAATTCTTTTTTAACAATTTAAAATATTTTTACCAAAATATGAATATTTTAAGTTTTTATTATTAAACTATCTTTTAAAGTATTGCTATTATTAAACTACTATTAATACATAATTCTAATAATTGAATGAATAGAAATTTATTTTAATGAACATTTTAACAAATTTAATTTTAAATTTAATGCTTTAAAATTTATTTACCTTGATATCTAATTTAAAAAATATATAATTAATAACTTTTCATAGGTAAAAATATATTTCTTTTTAAAATAAATATTTGTATAATTTGAATGAGGAAGTATTTTCTTGTTATGTTAATATAGTCTTTAATGTAACAAGTAGACTTAAAAACATTCTGCAATGTATATTCCATATACATATTATAAAATTTATAATAAAATGTATATCTACTTGTGTTTGTCATTACAGCTATATAATTTTATTTTTTTTACAATATTTCATGATATATGATATATAGATAATTATAAAACATGATTTTTATTAACAATGTTTTTCACAACTTCTGTTTTTTCCAATTACAACAATAACATCTCAATATTTGTTCTTTATTCATATAAATTTTCTTAATACATTTTCCTTTTACTAGATATAATGATATGTGTATTACAAGACATTTAAATGAAGTAAAAATGTTCTATTAAAACAAGAGTTTATAAAAATTATTTAATAATATGTTAACAAATACATTTTTTAATTTCATGATTAACAAGATTTTGTTATTCTTGGATAAAATAATCTACTCCATAAGATATATTTCCACAATAATTAAAATACAAACAACTATTTGTATTGTAATTTTATAATTTATTAATATAATATTGAAATTAATTATATGGTTAATTTTAATTTACAATGATTATTATTTCTTAAAATATGATGGTTAGTTAAATATATCAATAAATTGTAAAATTATATAATTCCATAATTACATAGGAAAACATTTTATTTTGTAAATTATTTTTTATTATTATAACATTATTATCTTCAAATTAATATTGAGTTGAATTCAATGACATTGTAATTTATGATACATTGATGATTTTATACTTAGGAAATATGTACAAACCGTTGTCATACAAAAAGAAAATTTTTTTTACTAATGTTAATATTTTAGTTCTATAATGAAAATTAAATGATAGGATTTGAATATAAAAATGTTTAGAACTATACTTTTCAGTATATTTGTATTTACTGACAATTATATTACTTTGATAATATAAAGTTAAAATATTCTTAATAACGAAATAGTGCATTAGTATATAAATTAATTGCTTTTACACATTAAATATCAGTTTGTTATTTGATATCGTTTTTTTTAATTTTTTTCTCAAATGGTTTATTATACAAGTTTTAATTGTATTTATTTTATTAACTATATGTTGCTTTAAAATTAACAAGGAATATAGCCTGAAATCTTTTTCTCTTTGACTAAAAAGTCGATATTTAAACAAACTTTTATGGTCTCTGCTATCGACTCTACAAAATATATTCTACTTTTTGGATTATTCTTGATATAACTGTAATACTTTTATTAAACGATAAGACCGTCTCAAACACTTTTCGCACTTTATTACAAATGCTTATAAAAATTTTCTAATATATATATATATATATATATATATATACACACACACTTACATAATGCAGTTATATTTTTAATTTTTAATACATTAATGAGTATTACCTTCAAGACCTATTCCTACTTGCACTTTCGAATGCTGTATTCTATTTTGATTATTACTTTTATTACTTTACGAATAAAACGAACTAATATTTATTGTTTTAAAAATTATGCAAATGTATAAAAATTCATATTTTAATCAGCTAGGGATAAAGCAAGATGAGCGAAAGAAAAAATGAGAATGAAGTGATGGTCAAAAAGATGAATGTTTTCCGAGATTATTTCATTTAAAACATTATTTAGTTAATAATATTAATTACAATTTTCATAATTTGATCAGGAAATAAATGAAAAATTATTGTATAAAAAATATACAAAATAACAATTTATGCTTTCAATTAGTGCCATTTGTCTATTAGTTTTCAATTTATTATGCTTTAAATTATATAATAATGTATAAGAAAGATGTTTTTTTCTGATAAGAAATATAAAATAAATAAAGTAGAAATCAAAATTATAATACGAAAATTTTCTTAAGGTTATTTAAAAGCAGTTAGAATTACACATTAGTTTTTCAGTTTATCTGGCGCATTATTGTTAAGGCTAAAATCTATTATTCAACAAATAGTATTTCCTACAGCACATTATTTTTCTTATTAGTGAAAAAAATGTGATATCCAATTACTGCATGCAAGCACAATTTGCTTAAATAGAAATTAATATATATACATATAATTAATTAATAAGAAATATGAATTATAATACTTAATGATTTAATTTATTATTTTCTGTTGTCTACATACAAGTATATACAAATTTTGTAAAACATAAATTTTCCAATTTGCTTTGAAAGATATACACTGACAATTTATTGAAAAATAAAATTTTTGACTTTGATAAAATGAATTAAAAAAACTTACATAATTAATTCTTTTTGTGTATCAAAAAAATAATGCATCTATTTCTAAATTAGAATAACTTTTTTTATAAAATGCTTTTATTTTTCAACATGCATGGAAAAATTTTAATTATATTACAATAATGTATATAAATTTATGCATGTATATTTATCCTTACTTAATATTTGAACTTAAATAGTTTTTTATATCAAAAGTATATTTTTCATTATATAATAACATTGAATATAGCATTGACATTTTTATGTGAGTAGTTTCATTTTTATTTATATACATTATGAATGATTTATTGATAATTGGTCTGTATTATATCAAATAGTTTAAGTCTTTACTAGGAATTTTTTAATATAATTAGATTTAAAATTTTAATCAAGCACTATATTTTATGTAAAGAAATTCTGGGGTGATTATTATATTTGTACATTTTTTCAAATCCTTGTTGTTCAGTATTATAAATGTTTTAATAGCCTAGATTCAGATAAGTAACAATAAAAGTAGTTTGTAATTTTGTAATTTTTGTATGTTTTTGCACTATATCGTATTTTAAAAGTAAGTAACTCAAAAAAAAAAAAAGATTTTATATACTGACTCAAAATGAAATATTTTGTGCTTGCAACAGACAGAATAATATTTATTTCTAATAAAATAATATTTATACAATTTAATATTACATAGAAATTGTTTTCATTTTTATTTATGAGAAAAGTATTGTATATATGCTAAGTAGACAAAGTTCAAAGAAATATGCTAAACATATTAAACTTGACCAAGTAAGTCCAAATGATACTTAATCTTTAAATATACTCATAAGTCCCATCAAAAAGAGCAACACAGTAGTCATGGATGTTCTTCAGATGGTCGACACAGTTAAACAGTGACCATGTTCCTTTGGCGAGCTTACTTTAAATATTTGCATTTGTGTATGCCTGTGTGTGTCTCATAGTAATGATGGTTGCATTGTTGGGATTAGCCTTAGAGGACAACATCAGGCAAAGAGCAATGCCACTAGGCGATATGTGTTCTGCTCCGTGGCCTGTGATGTACCGAATCGATCATTGAGCCACAGCTTGTGCTTCCACCGATATTATCACGCACGATTTTTCGTTCCTTGTAGTAGATTTCCTCACTCTCTTTGTCACACAACAAGAGAACAACTCCACCAAATAGGAATATGGCTGCACCCCAACCAACGCCATATGCCCAGCCGAATTCCCAGATTGCTCGATTACCTAAGGAATAGTTTTAAACATTTATAAAAATGTCCCAGTCTTATAATTAACATTTATTTCATTTTTAATTCATATATAATTCATTTAACTAACTACATATTTTGTCTTATTCTTTTAGTATTTTAGCTAATCATTATAAAATTAGAACTTATTAGAATAATTTATTTCAAGATCTATAAAATTCTTTACTTAAATTAAATTATAAAATTAAGATATTCAAGTAATAGTTTAAAAATATAACACAAATCAAAGTACATTCAATTATATTTTATCTTTCATTAATTCTTACAAGGCAATTATTATATTTTAACAGAATTAGTTTTTATTATAGATTAAATTTCTTTTATAAATAATTTTTGTTAATCTAAATTAAACCTTGTAGCAATATGTAAATCAATATATTTGGAATAGAGTTACCCAAAATACATTGTCAAACATGTATATGCGAATATGCAAAGTATTGTGTACAATCATCAGTGCATTGTGTATGCACATGTGTCAGATTTGGGATAGTAAAAACTGATGCAAAGCATGCTACCGTTCTTAATTTTTCTCTCTCTTTCCAACTTGCAAGTTGTGAATTACATGCCTAGTTATTCGCATTTTTTCTATTCCTATACACTCTCCTAGAAGATATGCTTTCATGCTCTTTATTTTGTGCACTTTTCTAAGCAAATGTTTCTTCTCTTAGTTTCTGTTTCGCCTACATTCTTGTATCTTCCCATGTACATTATTAAAATATTCCAATTTTTTCTACATAGTGAGGGTTCGAGTGTGATAGTAAATTTACTAAATTGCAAAAAAGTTACTTATCAAAGGACAGAGGTCAATCGATGTCAAATTACAATCACTTGAGCTAGTACAACCTTATTCCAGTCTTCTTTTGAGTTTCAGGTGTTAACCGGGTTCTTCTGTACATTCATTATTCTTCTCTTTTTTCTATGTAATACAAGTTTTTAGAATGTCACCGTCATTTTTAAATTACTTAATACATACCTCCAATTTATCTTTATCGCGACGGCGCCGATTTAAAAATCGATCATATTCTAACCTAATTGCAAATTATATATAAATATATTTTCGGTAAACTGTAAGCTATTCCTATATTGAATTGTAATCATCTATAATATTAATTTAATTTAAATCTTTATCTTTAGTTGACAATTAGGTATAAGTATCCACTTTCTATAAATACATTTTTGACATATTTACATTATTCTTAGATAAAGAGTAATGTAAGCGCACCATTCTATTACATTTTATAAGAATTATTTTTATTTTCTCCTGTAAGAAAATTTCTATATTATTTATGTTTCCCTATATCATTAAAAATAAAGAAATCTTTATTTAAGCAAAAAATTATGCTTAAATCACATAAGAATTATAAATTACAAAAATAATTGTCGACAAAAATCTAACGTTTACAAATTGATTATACATTGAAACTAATAAACCTTCGCATATATGTTATTTAAATATTTATAGTTTTCTTAGATAATTTTTTAAGTATTTGATAAAATGAATAACAAGCAGAAAAATTACAAATATAATATTATTATATTATATATAATGATATAATAATATTATTATATAATTAGTTAACGGTTGTCAGATTTTTATATATAATTATTACTATACGAAATTCATAATTCATTCTAAATTAACTGTACCCAAGCATATAATATATATATAATAATGATATTAAAAATTTGCAATGTTATTATTGGATAAATTTGTTTACCGAAGTCAAGTTCCGCAGTGAAACAGACTGGATAGATGACCAAGGCTATCAGGAGAGCGATGACTATATACAAAGAGATTTTCAATTAATATTTCAGGTATGAATATTCAAAAATGTAAAAAATGAAGTAGATTATTATGCATATCATACGAGCAATTCCCATGCAGAATACTGCAAATCTGTAATACTTGTGTTTATCACAATGGTCTTGGCATCGAAGTCCTAGACCCGTAAATATTGTTGCCGCTATATCAGCCAAAAGGCATATAACACAAAGTGCACCTGCTGCTCTCATGTATACTGCCAATATATAAAAAAAATATAAATACATATACAAATACAATATTTATATTTAAAAAAATAATCTGAAAGATGCACATAGATTTTTATGAAATTTTGAAGTTTTCGTATTTCTGAAAGCCTCATGTAATGTTGAAAGTTTAAGGAATAGAATTATTGCAGAGAAATTGTAATTCCAATTAATTCACAATAGAAATGAACTGAAATTTAATTAAAGGCTATTTATCGATTTATATTTAAAAGATTTTCTAATTCTATATTTCTGCTGACAAAATAAGTAAAATAATAACATTTCTGAATTAATTCATAAAATAATCTGAATTTTACACATACCTCCACGTAAAAATTTTAATTAATTCAGTTCACGCTTGTTAATAAGTGAAATGCTGAAACTAAAACTTTTAAGCTAGAACGAGACATGGTTAATACTGTGTTAAAGTTAAAAAGATTGCAGGAGCGAGAATAACAACATAAGTCATTTGTGATGCTTATAAAGAAGTTAAAAAATTAAAGTTTATTTTCAAACGATGCTTTGTGAATTATTTACTTACCAACATTTCGGGCTTGGTAGCAACCTGCGGGATCAGGCATGTTAAACGGCAGTGGTGTTGGTGCATCCTCCTCAATGCAATGGATAAATAAACCTTGTCGCCAGCCTAGTGCCATTAACCAATCGGTTGATGCTAAACCCATTATCATCAATAGTATCACGATCATTCCACATATAAAAGCTATAACCTGAAACAAACAAATCAAATTTTTTGTTCTTTTAATTCTTTAACTATGCGTGCAAATAAAATTAATTTCCTTCATATATATATATATATATATATATATATATATATGAATATACATTTAATTTTACATTGTTTAACTAATATATTTTATTTAAGGAAATGCTTAAATATATTGTAACTTTTTTATGAAAAAATAATAATTACAGATTCGTTAATTAAATATAGATAATTAATAAAAATATGTTTATATTTTTGTATTTGTTTAATTGATATATTTTGAATGTATCAAGTACATTTCAATAAGATATATGTTCAAAAAATAATTGTAATATTATTTATAACCGATGTATTTAAAATAAGATTATAAAACGTCATATGAATTTCATTGATTGCTTGTATATATTATATTTATGATATTTTATAGGTTAATAAATAATACTATTATAATTATTGTTTGTTTTATGTATTTAGAGTGAAATTGTAGAATAAAAATATTGATAATAGTATCATTGTAAAATATAATTTAAAAATTATTAATAACAGTAAAAGATAAAAATGTAGTAAAGATAAGATTAAATATGTTGATATATAAATTAAGGATAGTGAAACGAAAGTTGCATAAATTTTACTGAATTTTCATTTTAATATATGTCACTAAAATCGAGAATATAAATATTCCTTTAGGTTGTGAATACATTTTTTAATCGTTGCAAACGATTTGTTGGACTTTTCTTTTTTGTCACTAATTCCAATGGTATTAACAAAAATTTTATCTAATGTTTTTTAAAAGATAATCACTTTCACTACACTATTATGAATAAGAAACAGCAACAAATTTAGCAAAAAAAACAAATTAATAAAACTAGAATCTGTAATTTATATAATCTATTATTATTCTTATAAGCAATTTATTTCATTTTGGTACAATAATTTAATTAAATATAATATTAAGTATTGTATTTTATTTAAAATACTCATTATTCTTGAAATTATAGACATGCGAAAAAGAAATCGTAGTTAAAACAAATATAAATAACATTTATATTTAAATTTATATATGCTCATTTGTTGTTATAATCGCATTTTTAATATTAAACATGAAATAAGCATATTAAACATAAACTCCACAAAAGGAGTTCAATTATATTTTTTTATGCTGGTAAAATCATATAGTGTTCTAATAATTCATTTAGAATTATTAGAATTATTAAGAAATCAATTTTCATATAAAATTAATTTTGGTACAACACAAAATGCAATGTAATTAGTAATAATTTTACAAAATTATTTAAAATACATAAAAATCATTAGTTCATAGTGAAGTTTTTCAGAAATTCAAAAAACAATAAAAAAAACCCATTCACAAACCAATATTTATAGTGAAAGCAACATGTATCACACAAAAATAGTAAAAAATAGCATAATGAAAATAGGAAAGCAGGTATAGCAAATATATAGGTAACACCAAAACGAAGTACGTAATATTGATTTTGATTTCCGACAATTAACGTGTATCACTTTCAATTCAATTATATATTAAAAATAAATATTTCAATTTTGGTTCCGAAAATTCTGGTTTAATTTACATTAAAATTGCCATACCATAAATTGAATTAATTGATTATTCTATTATTACGAAATGAATTTCATAGTTATATTCTTTACTTTTGTCTATATTTCATTAGAATATTATTATAGTTATTAAAATTATCATAAATGTTTAATAGTCACAATATTAAAAATAATCAAGGAAAATTGTATTGTTATATTAATTACATCCGTTTACGTAATAATTATTTCTATAAACAATGATTAATAACAAATAATTATTCATTTCTATAAACCATAATTAATAACAAATAAGGATTCATTTCTCTAAACTATACAATTCATTCATAATAGATAATTAACTAAGAATTCAAATTATTAGTCCTCACTAATAGTATATATTAATTCAGTTTTATGTTTATAACAAATAACTTTAATACTAAAGATCTGATTTTTAATTAAAAGGACATATTTTACTAATATTTTTGTATAAGGTTTTTGCAAAATATATTATTTTAAATTTGCACCTCTAATCAAATAATTAATATGACATTAATGCACACATAAAACAATTTACAAATACAATATCTGGATTATATACCTTAAAGAAATTTAATATGTGATTATTTCTTATATTAATATGACAATTTCTTTTTCTGTTTCAATTTAAACAAGTTATATATGTACAATCATAAATAATTAATTTATGATTATGTTTTCATTATATACAACTTATTACCACTCGTTGACATTTTAATATAAAAAGCAACTACTCTCAAAATAGCTAATATTAATTTAAGAACAATAATAATTCTCAAATAAATTTTTAATTAATTCCTATATATAATTAGCACATATGTTTATATTAGAGCGTGTATATTTTCTTTTTAATCTTATTAAATGACTATATATAAAATGTACTATTGTTCTGCAATACATTTATAACTAATACATTTTTTATGAGAACAGAAAAATATTATATCAACAAACAAAATTAAAACAACGTGTTTGGTTATTATTAATTAGATAAAAAATAATAACCGCTGAATTATATAATAAAAATAAAGTTATATTTACATACTAGAAAATATATAAATGGTAATATTGATATAGATTTCTTTTATAAAATTTTGTTATTTATATATACTGATTATTTTAGTCTATAATTAAAAATTGGACTTTTTCTAAGTTGTATGAATTTTTATTTTTATAGTTTAAAAACATTTTGCAATATTTAGAGTAATTTTAAATATTACGTGATAGTGTACATTAGCAGAAAAAAGTTAAACCATATATTTCAGTAAAATTTAAGTAATAAAATTGCATCTGTGTATATTGTAATATGTGTATATAATATTGTGTATATGTATATAATACTGTGTATATAATAATAAAAGTGCATTAAAGTACTGTATAATTGAAATTTTTCAACGTTTATTTATTATTTATTAAAAAATATTTATTGTATACTAATTTCAAATTGCTGTTCATAAATATTTTATTAGATCATTAATACATAATTATTAATTATTATTAATAGGCTTCTGATTTAAAGAAAATGATTTGTATGAAAAATTTAAACTTAGAAAAGTACAAGTTATTTATTTATTGAGAGCTTGATAACCCAGACACAATTAATATTATAATTATATTATGTAGATTAATAATTATTTATAGAACAATTTTATAAATATTTTATATTAAATTCTAATTTAAATTTCTTACCTTATGAATTGTACGTGTTAAATTTTGTACGATTTTAAATAAAATATAATTAATAAAAACACAAAATTATGTTTATAGAGTTATTGATGATCTTTTATATTTTCCTTGTTGATAGTATATATATTTTTTTATTTACAATGCAAAAATATATTTATTATAATCATTCTTATGCAAATTTCTTCTTTACCTTATTCAATTCTCAGTGATCCTTGATACAATCTAATTCATTTTTTGCAACATTATTAAGTATCACAGATATTTTTATATAAATATATTTACCATTGCCTAAGGTTTTGACATTTTATGAATGAAGAATATTATATTATATCAAATACTACAAATTTTAAATATACATATATATTTATGAAATAAATAAAATAATTTTAAAAGTTTGCAGAAGTCTATGCAATGCAATAAATATATTAAAAATAGTTAAACCTATTATAATCTTTATATTTTCATCATAAAAAGTAAACTTTTAAAAATCAAAATATACGTTTTTAAAGACTATTGAAGGTATACATGCAAGATTTAGGATATTAATATATATAGACAGGTAGTATAATTAATGAATCTGGACTTTTACAGTGTTATACCACACAGTGCACTACCAAAATCATAATTATATCAAATGATTTTAATAGATATAAATATCTTATCAAGAGGTATAATTCAATATTTGTTATTATTTTTATTTTATATGATATGTTGAATTATGAATATTTATTAGGATTCTCATACTTTTAAGTGTATAGTAATTAAAACTTTCGGAATACAACCAATGTATAGTAATATTATTTCATAAAGAAATTTTTTAATTGAAACAATTAAAATTTCTTTTAAAAAAATACGGCTTAGTTAATATTATAAAACAAAAATGGATGTAAAAGAAGAAATTTATTGTAATTAAGGAAATCTTATCTCTTACAAGTTTTATATTTTCTTTTGCAATGAGAATAATTTAGGATTAAAACTTTTTAAATTTGGTATTTTAAATTGAATATTTCATTAGCAAAAGTATTAGTAGAGTATTAAAAGTATTTTTGGGTTGTATTTAATGTTTTGAAACTAAGAAATAAACAGCAATAAAAATTGATATTTTCTTGTTATCAAACATTCTGATAAAAGAAAATTTGAATATATGTAAATTTGAAATGGTCAATTCGAAAAAATGTTTGAGAACATTAATAAAGGGATTATATATAAAAATAAATAAGGCGTTGAAACAGAATAATAATATAACCACGCCTTCGTTATAAAAGTGTAAGAAACGATAGAGTTTGTGAAAAAAGACGAATTAAAAGCGGAAAGTATGGATGACAGAGAGGCACGTAGCTAAATTCGAGCTGACAGTTATACCTGGGCGATTTCCTTTTCCCCCATGTAGTCGTCAGCAACAGTATACATGATCTTATCCAGAACAGAGTCGGCTTTATTCCCCGGTAAGGGCACCTGACACAAGAACAACGGTCTGGAATTTCAATTGATGTCCTTGGTACAACAGGTATTTTGGAACAAGAAAGTTCGCCGTGCCTCTCCAGGGTTTGCTTTTCCTGACAAATAAACTTCTTTGAAGGTTTGACACTACCGTCCTTGTTACTCATGAAAACGCTCAAAAGTGCTGAAGAATACGATACCGTAACGCAACCTTGACTTCAAATCATATAAAGATGTCGTTCGTTTACTTGATTCCGTACTACGGTCTCTAGAGTGTGTAGTTATCTGTAATGCGGACAGCAGCTTTGAACGTATCATAACTAATGATCAAGGGCAAATGTTACATTCGATCCCCAAGAGCACTTGCGCATTCAGACGCTCAACGATGAGAGAACGTCGCGTATCCAGTAATATAAATCATGATCACAGCTGCGACTGCGCATCCTGACTATTCATCTTTACGCTCCAAGAATAAGTAGTAGACATTTGCTAGTGATAACTACTGGTTATACGATAACATGTAACTTCAAGATTTCTCACCTCGTCCAGCTCCAGTGCTATTACCACACTATCGTTACCTTATCAAACTTATTTATTAACAAACATACCGTTTTTACTTTAAGTAAAAATGTCTAATGAAAAAATGTATCTGCAGAACGATTTCTTTTGCTAAAATATTTTATATAATTTTTTATAATTTAATTTCACATTTAATTTTAAGCATTTAAGGAATAAAATATGTTATAATTTATGAATTATAAATTATTATTAACAATTAATAATAATTATTATTCAAATTAGAAAATAATATATTATTTACCTATTAAAAATTAGTAACAGTTTGAACTTAATTTTAATTTTAAAACAGTAAAAAATTTTATATTTTAATATATAAAAATATATTAAAAATGTTATATTTAAAATTATATTTAAAATTGCTTATTATATATTCTAAATATTTATATTTTCTTAATTTATAAAATCATTTTCTTTAAAGCATTATTATAATTTATGAGTACTATGTTGTACATATGTAGCAGTAGATTGTGCCTACGAGTAATGTTATACAATCAAGGGATATGTAGATAAGTCAATATTAGATATTTAAACTAAACATTCACTATAATTTCATTAAAAGTAAATGAATGAATAAAAAAAACAAGTAATAGTTTTAATCAAATCCTTGGGTCTATCAAAATTTTAAAATATTGTTTTTTTAATATTAAATAAATTATAAGTTAATGTAAAATGCCATGTAATTGATACAAAATCTGTAATAAAATATTGTACATTTATCTAATTATATTCAAGTGTTTCTAAGCTTAACCAGTATATTTATTACATATTTCAATTTTATTTGTTGTTTTTATAAGTAAATAAGAAAATAATAGTATTTTATTAACTAATATGCACGCAAATAATAAAGTTGCATATATTTTTGCAATTTTTTGTATTGCATAAGTATGTGTATTTACACATTTTTTAAGAGATCTTTTATGATTGATATTTTCTTTTTTACTTATTTTAGAATTTCAGGCAAATATGAAACTAATTACATATATCACCATATATATACTAAAGTATATAACTAAAGTAGAAAACAGAATTGGATATTTTATAAATTGTTATTTTAAATTTTATAAATAATATTGAAAATTTATTTTTAATTGTATATTGTAAAATATTTATAATAATATAAATCATTATTTCTTTTTAGTAGAAATAGATATCGAATTATAAGTCTTTATTATCAGTAATAAATTTATTATTTATGCATTTGTTATTTAATTTCATATAATTCCTTATGTAATGCCATTCACTTAAACCATGTGAATAAATTGTTATTTAAATTAAAAGTACTTTGTCATAATATCAATGATATAAAAAAACTGAAAAATTTTCAGTATCTTTAACTGTACATACTATGTTTGTATTTAATATTTGATACTACATGTGCAGTGCTAAATGATTTCATATTTTGCACCATTATATTTTTTTTTTTGTAATTTTTTTTAAAATCAGTTTCTGTGCTGATGGTAAAATATGTAAATTAAAAAATATACTACTTTTTAATACAAAAATAATTATTTATATATATTTCATCATCAAATTTCAAAGTATAAAGTTATAACTTTGCTAATTTACTTATACTTAACTATACAGTAACTTATACTTAAAATTAAAGACAAAATTCCATTGAAACTTTTATTACAATTTTCAATTATGGTATTAATTATAAGATATAACTGTAATCTATTTTAATATAAATAATTTCCTATTTTAATTTAAAACATTTTTAAATATGATATTTAACCATTTTTGTTAAAAAATGATATTAGATTTTAGTTGCTTTTAATTTATAAACGGAAGTATTAACGACTTTAAAATATATTTTTATTATATAAATATATTTATTATTCTTACCTTCAGAGGACGGATAATTGTAATTGTCTCAATTGTCATTGTTTGAGCCATTTTACTTTAATTAAGAAATAACTGTAATAAAATAAATTAAAGAAAATTGAAAAAAATGTATATATATATATATATATATATATATATATATATATGTATATAATTTATAGACATACCTTTAAATTATATTAAAATTTCTTTGATGATAAATTTAATTTATATGTAATAATTAAAAAAATTGATAGTTTGAACTATAACAAAATTTATAATAAAAATTATAAATTTCTTGTATATCTGTATGAATATATTTAAAACATTTATATTTAATTTGTATTTTATTATCAAAGATATTGAATAAATGTTCCATAATAAATACAATACTATTATTCTTATATGGTAAACTAAATTTTAACACATTAACAAAAAATTTTTGTATAATCATTTTAAAATAGAATAGAAAATAATAGAGACATAATTGACTTATTTACTATAAGAAAAAACTAACAATAAACTCAAATATTGCATCAATTGATAATTGATAATTACAGGTAGAGAAACGAAAAATATTCAATAAAATTAATTAAATTGATATTGTCGTTTCTATAAAATAAAAAAGAATGAAATTTAGTACTTACGTCGATTGGTATAAATTTTAGCAAATAAAATTTCTATTTTAATTTAGATTCAAAATCAAGAGAAATTCGATTATTAACAAAATGTTATTCATATTTCTTGAATAACTCATATGTGCAAGTATGATCGATAATTAATACTTATCAATTAAAATCTAAATTTTATCTAATGCAGATACAAAACTGCATTTACCGTTAATCTTATACACAATGTATATAGTTTGCTATTGCGGGAACAATTCAAAGAGGGCGTTCAGCAGTTAAATACTTGACTATTTGTTTTCACTACAATCATAAAAGTAGTAAAAGGGGAGAATAAGCATACAAGCCGAAGAGGAAAATAAAATAAAAGATAAATGAGAAAAATAAATGCAAATTTGTTGTGAGTATATTAAAATCATGTTATTGCCTTTTTTTGTAGTCACTAATAATACATTGGTATATAGTAAGAGAAATATATTTTTAAGTACTATGGGATGTGTTTATCACTTCATTAAGATAGTAGACTGTAGTACAAATCTGAGTTACCTGTTAATTATGAAATAAAGAGTGCGATATGAGTATAACGAGAGAAGGCACGTGAAAAGTTATAACAAATTTAATATTATTGTATAAACAATCTTCTTATTTTCTATTTTAAATTACAAAGGAACAATTTTGTTATCATTATTAGTTATTCGGTTCTAATACTTGATAATCTATAATTTATTTTGACTGAAAGTATAGTAGAATTGCTTTGGGTTGTAGATCTCTTAATTTCCATTGCAATTATAATTAATAATTGGTACATAGTAGTGGTATTGAGAAAGTGTGGATAGAGCTTTGGTGTAGGGTACGTTTAACAGCCATGTTTAATAAAAATTTTAAATCTAATCTCATAAATTTTGGATAATATATATTAAATGAAAAAATCCAGCTAGATGCATACACATATAACGAAATGTATATTTCATAGTGACAATACTAATGATTTTATATCAATTTTACAAGATATATTTTTATCGTGTAATATTATTTAATAAAAAAAATTTGTTTTTATTTGTCAAATATTTTAACAGAAATAAAAAGATATAAATGAAGATAACTAAATTTTTTAACTTTTGTTATTTCAAATAAATTACTTTACAATATTTGCTTAAAGTAATGTATTGTTTTACAATTTATACAAAAATCTTTAAAACTTATTGAAAACAGCACGTTTTTTATAATTATAAAATGAATTTAAAAATTCAATAGGTTAGACCTTCATTTCAGAAGCTTAAATAGGTACATCATTTAAGAATACATTTCCACTGTTTTTTGTTAAACAGTTTGAAAGTTATTAATTTTATTCTTAAGTTTCATGTATCGATGTTAATAGTAACACTAATTTATTTTACTATCAAATATTTGTTGTAATTAGATATATTTATATATATTTATATATGTTAGAGGATAATAAAATATAATAAAATATATTGCATAAGAAATCAAAGTAAAGAACTAAATAAAAAAGTCAAAAAAATAAAAGCATAAAAAATTTATAATGGTATAACATTGATAATTATATCATATGTGTTTGTAATAATATCAATGTCATAGAAGAACATCAGATCATGATTTAATTTTTTTCAAACAAAAAAACAATAAAATAGTTTAAATGTCTTGGTCAATAAATAGCATATACTGTCTCGTGAAGCTAATAAGCTATATTTCGGGAGAGTTCTTCAAGGATCTTTTTATGTAGAAAAATGTATTGCAATAATAATGAAGAAGTGTGAGTGGACATGAAAACTGTAATAATAAAGGGACAATTACTTATGTTGGTTTACTTGATAAATGAATATATGCATATATACATACATACATATAAATCATATGTATATATGTTAATATAGTAATTCATTTCATATATTATTATGCTTTTATTAATCAAATAATAAGTAAATTAATTTCTCAATATTTTTCATAGTTTTATATTTCTTTTCTACTTGGTATACATTTGGTATATATGTTCTTAATATAGTATAATAATTTTAATTGCACTATTGTTTTATTGTTGCTTAATTTAAATTATAGAAATAATATATATTATAGATAGACTATTATTTATTATGAATAAAATTACACTATCATTTCTTTTTAAACTATGCTACTCAATTCAATCTGATCAATTCTATTGCAAATTGGGTACAAGAACCCCATACAGATATATAACTAATTATAATAAATCAAAACTCAATTCTCCAGATAAATATTAATACATTATTTATACGTTTTAATAAAATTTTATTAATACTTCAGGACGTCAAGAAAAGAAAATTTGGTTGATGATTCGCCATGGAACAAGATTATCTGGAAAAAATATTAAGTTAATGATTAATAGTTTACCACAATTACAGGAAAAAATTACAAAAAGTTTTGAAAATAACAATTATAAATTATGTTATAATTTAATTGAAAAACTTAATAATTGGAAATTGTGCCATAATAATTGCCATCCACTGTATTTAACTGATGAAGAAAAGAATAAATTTATTGATCTTGCAGAAAGAATGCAAGCAGGTTTTCCAACATTATTTTTAAAAGATTAAAATACAAACATATATAAAGTACAGATATTATATATAAATTCGGTATTACAATTTAAATATAATAATTTAATAATATAATTATGCATGTAATAGTTTAAATACACAGCTACCCAACTTATAGAATGCAACGCAAAATCCTTTGTTCTGGGTTATTTGGTCAATATCAAATTATCTGTTATTTTTAATTTATGGTTTTATAAAAAAAGTGATATAAAACATCATACAGAAAATGCTTAACAGAAATAGATGAAAATTCAGAAACATGTAAAGAAAGAGATTTATTTTTAAAAAGTGAAATTTTTAAAAAACTTTATTAGAAACTTTAAAACTATTTGTATTTACATTTTTTTATGGTAATAACTAATTTAAAATATTAATTATATCATTATAATATTTATTGAATTAGATATACATAAATATAATAATAATAATGTTTTTTATTGGTTATTATTTATAGAAACTCTGAAAATTATATATATTACATATGGATTTGAAACTGCTTGGAATAAATTTGATACATCACCACGGTGTGATTTACTCAGTTATAATGATATTAAAGTATGCACTAAAGTTTTACTTGTTTTTAAAATATAGCATACAAATTATTTTCTTAGATTATTGAATTTTTGATTTTTATATTCATATTATATATGAAATTAATTAGTAATAGTTCAACAATATAAGTGTGATAAATTTTATATAAAAACTTCAGCTGTGAAATACAAGGACTAAGCACACTTTTATTATATCAAGAAAACTCGATTCACATACAAGGTTGCCCATTGGAACCATTATGTCCATTATTATTGATGAAAAAGATTTTTCCTGGCACAAAACAAAAGTTATTGTGAAATTGCATAGAATTTTATTAAAATTATTATTTATGTATATATTTATTTGGTATTTTATAAGTACAGTTTTATTTTAAAGACATTAATTGTCTATTAAAATATACTTTTTTAGTTTATAAAATATGTAAAATTGTTTATTACCATATATTATCTAAAACAGTATTTCATTTTATACTACAAATTAATGTGATGTTTATATTTAAAAGTTATATAATCTGACTTAATTATTGTTTATCTTTCAGTATATTGATGTAGTTGTGTATTTCATTTCTTTTATTTTTGTATATTATATGTTGTGAATGGATGAGCCAAGAATATATCCTGAAATTACTAAAATAAAATTATTACCAAATATTAAACGATAATTTCATAATTTAATATTTTTATATAGATATTTATTATTACTTATTATTAAAAATAATTTTTTAAATTGATTTAAAATTAAAAATTATTTATTTTTACGTAATAATGTCGTATACATACATTTTCGTATTTACCTTAATAATCATAAACCTTTATAAAATTAATATTTTAAAAATATTAGTATATATATAAGTACATAATTTTACCTACTCTTATGCGTAGTATTAAAGAGTGAAGCAATGATGCGTGACATATTAAAACTTATTTGAATTAGAATAGTTTAATGGAAGAACTTTTTACCCGAGTGTATTTCAACTTATTTTCAATAAGTTATTTCACTATTTGTGAATACAGTACTTAATTGCAGAAAGTAAGTAATGCACTAATGAATAGAATTTCCGAATTGATAAGTTAAATAGTATTGCAAAGTTGATTATTGCAATAAGTTTTTCAAACGAATGAAATTCTAAAGAAAAAAATATACGTGACGCAAGTCACGTAGCATTACATATTAAGTCAGACAGTATCCCATAAGATTATTATGTAGTATTTACACAATAAAATGTCCCGTGAGAATTATAAGATGTATATAATTTCTCTTCAAATCTGTATCATTGGCAAGCATTATTCTATACTAATTTTTTACTTAATTTAAATTGATATTTCAAATTTATATTTTGTTAGTAATTTAGTCAGTCATTTTACTTCAGACATACTATTTAATAATTTTTTACAATTTGTCTTAAACTCAAATAGTTTTAATTAAAATAAATAAACAATCGTAATTTCACATACTTTTTAGTCAAATTTTACCTACTACCTGGAGGAGTAGAATTTTTTAATTTACAAAATTATATTTATTGTCATACGTAACAGAAAATTGTAAATATATTTTGTTTAATAATAACCTTGATTTGGTAAAATTATAACCTTTTATAAACTGATGTTTTATAAAATTAATAATATCAATTATTTTATTCTTAATATTCATAGTAAGCAATGTATAAAAATATTTATCTATGCATTTATATTATTACTTTAAAAAAAAGGGCACAAAATTAATGTTTCTAAAAAACAGTTATGAAATGAAGTGAAGAGATTCCATTCACTTATTGAATTTATCATAATATTTATGTTCAAAACTATAAATACAAAAAATGCTGTTGCTTGCAAATGAAGATACTCTTTTTTTTTTCATTGTTCATGTTGTTTCATTAGTTTATACATCTTCTCTATTTTTAAAGCACGATCAAAAGAGAGAAATAATTTGTCAAAGGGAATTAAAAATCAAGATGACTTAATTGAATAAATTACTATTTTTCTAATTAAATTGAAGCAAAAATTCAAATTTCATCTTTCGTTATTAGATGAAGTATTATTATATTAATATTGATATACTTATATCGACTACTTCGTCTAAATTGAATTCGTATTATGATATAAAGTGACTCAATATTAAATTTGTGTAAATAAAATAAAATAACTTAAATGATCTTGTAAAATATCTTAAATATCTTGTGCGAAAAATATTTTTGAAAATAATTTATTAAAAGTAGTGTAATTAAATATGTCTTAATTTTATTATTAATTATTTATTGTACAATATTTAACAAATAAAGTTGACATAATAAATAGTAATATAATAAAAAACAAATATAGTAAAATCAACTGAATTAAATAATTTAATTAACTATATTATTGATTGAGTGCTGTTCAAAAGTGGTCTTATTTCCTGGCTCGAACTGCCAGTGTTTTATTAGTTTTAATAATTTGCCGCCTGCTCTAGCAGATGCTTAGGTGGGAGTCAAGTGGAAGGGTTGTAGAAATGTGTAGTATGTGAAAACTTCGTTAACATATGGTTTATTAATAGTTACATTAATAATAAGCAGGATTCACTTCTTATAGAAGAGTGTAAAACTCTGTCTTGTCTCAATGATGAGGTTGCTCCTTGATGGTGACGATATCGTGGCCTCTGCTAGTGTTGTAAGGACTAGCAGAGATATGCTTACACTCCTGTCTAGGACGTGTGGCTTTGAAGTATGTATGAACATATCTGGAGACTATGCTTATTGTGACAGTGTAGTTTCTCGTCATGCAGTCAGCACTCTTGACTGCTTCTAAGTATAGCACACTTGACAATTAAACTTGTGTCCCCTTGGATGACTTCCTTGTGTGATATAACTGAGCGACTGGTGTGTGGCCGAAACACTAGCTGAATAACGTAATGACTTATAACTGTCGACCGACTGATACACAATGAGCCTATAAGCCTGTTGAATACGCGCACGAAAACTGAAGGCTTGATCGTTCCGTGATAACTCTGCTGAGATCTACCGACTGTTCCATGGCGGTCCTGTTGAGGCAGACAGAGATCCGTGCCATGGCTTCTTCACTTCAGAGAGAGCGGTTCACAGCAAGAGAGCATCGTTGTTGCAATGGAATCTTACATGAGGCGCAGAAAGAAAACTCTAGAAGTTTCGAGAATTCTAAGAAAAAACAAGGCGTAAGAAGTTTGGAGAATTCTAAGTGACGTTACTGCTCGAGACTATAAACATTGTAGACCATTTGAAACCAAAACATAACAAGTACACGAAAATCCTCATCTTAAGTGTTTACAGAAACCTGAGAGCTAGATAGACTAGTGATGCCGATAGCCGACGGTCTAGGAAATTGCTTCAATCCCGAACAAGTGCTTTTGTTTATAATTTTTTTACTATTCATTGATTCAAGCTTCATGTCAATTAAAACTTTTTATTTAATTTTTCAAAGTACGATTCACTGAGAATTGTTTGTAATGTTTTCAAATAAATTAGATTAAATTCGATTAAATAATATATTCATAATGTACAAAATGTATTCGCCATTCCGGTTTGTTTTACCAAGATCGATTCCAAGGATACAAATTGATGCCGTTGACAACTCAGAGATCAGAGATTACATCTGCTATGAGCATTGAATGGCACGCTGTGGATTCATAAGCGTCAGACTTTGAACTAAGGTGAGGGTAAGGCTGGCAAGACTCGCATCAGCTGACACGAACTTGACGACGAGTTTGGAATTATTCCGCATTGTCTCTCTGGTGAGAGCCTCTTTTTCTTTGGTTGTTTGTCGATGACGTATTCTGAATCTTAATTTTTAGTTAATTATTGTAGTGGTGCTACTATTTACGACGACTAATCGTCGACTTGTCGATCGTAATCGACGAATCCGATAAGTGGATATGTCTTCGATCCTTTTGAACTTGTAACGACGGGTTTTGAACTTTTCTTGTTCTTGAACTGCGTTAATAGACTTCCACTTCTTACTTAAATAAGTACTGTATCGAGAGTGATGAATCTCGTAGTTTTCTCTCTTAAATACATTACTGACAATGGGTTTCACTTGGGATCCGTTCCCCGTCCTTGTGTCCAATTAGAGCGCGGTTTTGGGCTGTATGAGTGAGCATGCACGCCCTTTTTTCCCATTTCCGAAGAATTTAGGCTTTGCCGATGATAACACCGAAAAAGTGTCTTCGGCAGCAGCACTTACAATTGGTAGGCTCGCCCCTCTCTTGGACTTAGCGACATGGGGGTGTCTTGGTCAAGCGTCGTTGCTTGGCTCGTGCGAGAGGCAGATTTCGGCGTACTTGATAACAATACATGCATTGTCTCTTGACCTCGATGTGGGCACGTGCCGATGATTGCCCATTGTCGCACATATAAGGTATTGGATTGCAATAAATATTTTGGAAATAATTTGTTTGTGCTCGATAGTTTACGTACGTACAGTTGACACTCTGTCAGAATCGCCTCTTGGCAGATCATTTTAACAAGATCGTTTTAACCGCAGCGGAGAATCATTAGCACGTTTGATATGTGAGAATAAATAAAATAACTATTTATGAGTGTTTTCCAGATTTACTGACCTTCTCGAGTGTCCAACGACCGTGGGTATTTTGTGACAAGAAAAACGTTCTCGCAATCTCGAACAGTAGTCAACTATATTCTAGAAATGCAGTCAGCCCTTGACTGCTTGTTAACCGTTGCGCACTGGAGAATTGAACGTGAGTTAAATTTTCAATATTAAGTGTGTATTCGAGAATGCGAGAACATTTTTTTCCTTTTGTCAGTGTAATAAAACATCTGGCAAGTAACATCGTAAAATTTGTATTTGGATTTCAAAACTTCGCTTGCTTAAAGTTAGCAAGCACTAGTGTCATAAAACATCTGGAAAAACAATACCATAAACACGGGAAAACCTATAGTTTAGACATCTGCATTTTCGTTCCGCTCGGTAACTACATCAAGCATTACTGCAAGCGGACCTTCTTTCTCCTTCCCACTGTCAACAAGTTGCAATGCTGTCACCAGATGTGTCAGCGGTGCCCCCCCCCCCCTTACCCCCTCCCAAC